CAGGAAAGGAAGAAAAGACCAAAATGGATGTGAGAAGAGACTCTGAAACATGCCCTTGAATGGACAGCAACTAAAGCAAATGGAAGAAATGACAAGATAAAAGAGCTGACAGAAGATTTCAAAGACCAGCACAAGAAGACAAAGTTTATTATAATAAAATCTGCAAAGACCTGGAGTTAGAAAACCAAAAGGGAAGAACACGCTCAGCATTTCTCAAGCTGAAAGAACTGAAGAAAAAATTTAAGCCTCGAGTTGCAATACTGGAAGATTCTATGGGAAAAATACTGAATGATGCAGGAAACATCAAAAAAAGATGCTAGAAATACAGTCACTGTACCAAAAAGAACTGGTTTATCTTCATCCACTTCAGAAGGTGGCAGATGATCAAGAACCAGCAGTATCAAAGGAAGAAGTTGAAGATGCATTCAAGGAATTAGAGAAAAACAAGGCTCCAGGAATTGATGGATGTTTCAACAAACGGATGCCATGCTGGAGGCACTCACTCGTCTATGCCAAGATATTTGGAAGACAGCCACCTGGCCAACTGACTGGAAGAGATCCATATTTGTACCCATTCCAAAAAAGGTGATCCCACAGAATGTGGAAATTATTTAACAATATCATTAATATCACAGGCTAGTAAACTGAAGATAATTCAAAAATAGTTGCAGCAGAATACTGACGAGAACTTCTAGAAATGCAAGCTGGATTCAGAAGAGGATGTGGAATGAGAGATATCATTGCTGCTATCAGATGGATCTTGGCTGAAAGCAAACAACACCAGAAAGAGGTTTTCTTGTGTTTTATTGACTATGCAAAAGCATTTGGTTGTGTGGATCATAACAAAATGTGGACAACATTGAGAAGAATGGGAATTCCAGAACGCTTCATTGTACTTAGGAGGAACCTTTACATAGACCAGGAAGCTGTCATTCAAACAGAAAAAGGGGATACTGTATGGTTTAAAATCAGGAAGGGAGTGCATCAGGATTGTATACTTTCACCGTACTTATTTGACCTGTATGCTGACCAAATAATCCAAGAAGCAGGACTATAAAGAGAACACTGGCATCGGGATTGGAGGAGGGCTCATTAACAACCAGCGATATACAGATGACATAACTTTGCTTGCTGAAAGTGAGGATGACTTGAAGCACTTACTGATGAAGATTGAAGACTACAGTCTGTAATATGGATTACACCTCAATATAAAGAAAGCAAAAATCCTCACAACTGGACCAAAAAGCAGCATCATGAAAATGGAGAAAAGACCAAAGTTGTCAAAGACTGCATATTACCTAGTTCTACAATCAACACCAATGGAAGCAGCAGTCAAGATATCAGATGATGTATTGCATTGAGCAAATCTGCTGCAAAAGAGCTCTTTAAAAAGTGCTGAAAAGCAAAGATGTCTCCTTGAAGATTACGGTGTGCCTAATCCAAGCCAAGGTATTTTCAACCACCTCATATGCACGTGAGAGCTGGACAATGAATATGGAAGACGGAAGAAGAGGTGATGCTTTTGAGTTTTGGTTTTAGTGAACAATACTGAAAACTACGAAGGACTGCCAGAAGAACTAACAAATCTGTTCTGGAAGAAGTGCAGCCGGAATGCTTCTTGGAAGCAGGAATGGCCAGACTTCGTCTCACCTACTTTGGTCATGTTGTCAGAAGGGACCATTCCCTGGAGAATGGTATCATGCTTGATATAAAGCGGAGCATCAACGAAAAAGGAGAAGGCCCTCAACAAGATGGATTGACACAGTGGCTGCAACAACAGGCTCAGGTATAGCAAGGATCATGAGGCTGGCACAGGACCAGGCAGTGTTTTGTTGTACATAGGGTTGCTATGGGTTGGAAATGATGCGACAGCACCTAACAACATCCTGAGTACCACCCTTTCCCCCAAATTCAGGAAAGATTGTAAGTATTTACTATACACCCGAATCTCTGGGTGGTACAACTGATTTACATTCTTGGCTGGTAACCAAAAGGTTGGAGGTTCAGGTTTAACCAGATGTACCTTGGAAGAAAGTCCTGGTGATCTAATTCCAAAAAAATCAGTCATTGAAAACCCTATAGAGCACAGTTCTGCCATTAAGTGGAGCAGACTTGAAGGCAACTGCTTTTGGCTTACTACATAACAAGGACTAAGCTGGCTGGCAGAGGAAAAAAGGTTGTTCTGAGGAAAGAGGTGGGGAGTGGGCAAGAGATAAGCAGACTGCCTGCCACATGTGCCACATGAAGAGTGGAATCAAAGCTCTCAGCAGGGAACACCGTGATGCCACTGTACAGACCCTGCAGGCGCTGCTCTGCATCCAGTCACCACCCTCTCGTCTTCTAATTAGGGCAAAGTGTGGTCCCACTGTGTCAGTCCGTAAGTCTAGCTCTGTGTGTCTTATCTGGGTTAACCCTGTCCCTTTCCATGTACATGCCACAAACTTTCCCGTGTGGCACAGTTATACTGAATGCATTAGTACCTTTCTCACACTTGCTTGCCCCTATGCCTTTCTATGTCTTTGGAACCATACAGGAACTTGGGTTGTGGAAAATCTGAGGTGATCATGTAAAGCTCACTACCCATGTAAAAGAAGATAACACAGTGTTATGTACAGAGCATTTAGATACTCAATGCTATTTCCGCCTCCAGCCATCCTGCCCCAAAGCAGGATCACTTATCCTTGTATTTCCTATGGTTTTTTTTAGCTGGCTTTAACTGACTTATAGTAACACTCCTAATACACTTTGGGGTGCTGTTTCCAATTAATAAGCATTGCTGAACTCTAGGGAACTCTGGTAGCACAGTGCCTAAGGCATCTGAGTGCTATCCACAAGGTTGGTGGCTCAAATTCACCAGCCACTCTGCAGAAGCAAGACTGGGCAATCTACTTGGGTAAAAATATATTGCCTCGGAAACCCAATGGGGGTCGCCATGAGTTGGAATCAACTTGGCACTGGGTTTGGTTTTTGTTTTCTTTGACTGAACTCTAATGTATTCAGGACCTAAAGACTCAATCATCTCTTACAGGCCATCACTGAATTTGGTCCTCAGTAATGCTTCCAATCCCTGTTGCCATCCTACCAAGCGGATCTTTACGTCAGGTTTTTAAATTCCAGGAATTCAGAGTTTAAGCTTCTCTCTATGCTGAATCTTCACACACCCAAAACACAGTAGCCAAAGGGGCTTGGTGCTTTCACAGACTTCAGTATGTTACACTGGAAATGAGTCCCAAACCTAAGAAGCTGGAAATGGTATTCATCTAAAGTGGTACTGGTTCCAAAGAACATAGTGTGGCAATGGGAATGTGCTGTCAAATACCGTCTTTAGCCCTGTGTGCCTACTGAACATCTGAAATATAGTTAGTGTGACTGATGAGCTGGATTTTCAAGTTCCTTTAATTTTAATAAATTTAAATAGCCACAAATGGCTACTGGCAACCACACTGGATAGTGCAACTCAAAAGCATCAAAGTTCTGAGTGACATGAAAATATTTTAGAAGACAGTATTTTTACAAATGAACGAGCTACTCAATGAATACTCGGTAGCAACTTCTGTCATTAATAATGTCTATCCTCTATCCCTTCTAAATATTCTCAAGTGAAAATAAAACAAAACAGCATCAATAAAAAACTCATATTACTTTAACCCTAATCTCCTTTGAATGAAACACATCACTTTTAGTACACAGACATTGCAGGGCCAAAGATAAAAAATAAACTATAGCCACCAAAACAAAGAATTAGAAAAATAAGCATACTAGAAGTTATTTATGTTTAATGCTTAAAAGTCCGAATGCAACAAACAATCTACCATTATAGAAGTACTGGTGGTCAATACAATGCATTAGAACTATGTACAATGCACAGTTTAGTATCAAAATCTTTCTACACTGTAGAGTTTTACGAAACTGTTAATGACATCAAACACTAAGCACTTAAGACACCATTTTTTTTTTCTGCTACCACATTAGGAACGTCAATGGACAGTCCATTTCAACTTGCAGCATCCATCCATTTCTAGTATGAAATTAAGTAATTTTCTACTTATACAATAAAGTTTATCTACACAGTTCTTTTGATTTTGATCCATAGCAGCAAAGGCACTGTACATCAGCAGATCCACAGACTTAAAAGGTTTTTAAAGCATTCAAACAAAAAATAATAATAAAAAAAGGAGTCACATGTCATAGTTTAACAGCAACAACAACAACATAAAGGATAACACAATGTTTCTGGCACAATGGCACAGACTGTGTCCATATCAGGGACATCCAACTAAGACATGGAAAGGACCGGAGGTAAAGAAAGCAAGTCCTCATCCCAGGTGAGAGTCCGTTCTTCCTGTTGTTCAGAGGGAGGTCCTCGCCAATCTTCTGCTGTCCTCGTCTTGTGAAAGACTTGGCTGCACAGTGGTAGGACTTGCCCACCGTATTTATGCAGTTCCCAAAGAACATGCCAAATAACAGCCCCTAATTTCTTATAATGACAAAACTGCCCAAAGATACACATCTCCCTTTGCAAAGAAACATGGCAAAAATACCCAAAAGGGATTAAGTTGTCTCTTTCAGGCCAATTAATTTGTTCATTTGTCTATAATACAATTTAAAAAAAAAAGGAATTTAAAACATATTACAAAGACACTTATTAAGGGGGAAGAAATAAAGTCCAATTATTTTTAGACAATATTATCTAAAGCTATAGGTATATGGTTAAACTTGTCCAAACAGACTCAAATGAATATGACTTGGGCTGCCATGTTCTAATTGTTCAGCCAAGTTTCCAAATTTCTTTAAGTAAAAAAACAAAAACAAAAAACCTAAAAACTTAACAACACAGCAACATATTGCTTCCATGTGTAATTATACATTTCACATCTCTATACAGTCATTAGTCTACACTTAGTGACATTTTTTAATCAATTATTTTAAACCTTCCTTTCCCCTCCTTTGCCAAAAAAGAAAGGGGGGGGGGAGGGTATCAAATACGACGCATCTTCATTATCAATGCAGGAGCAGACAGCTTTATTTAGTCAGTCATTGTTAGAAAGCCTTCTTTAAACAAAATAAATATATTACAGGTATAATACATAATTAAAGATTCCATTCACTGTTAAGTATGCCTATCCCATGTTCTTCCAAGTAGATATCTGAAAGATTTGGTATCACAGGTTCTTAATGAGTATTCACAATTCAATAGCAAATAGGAAGTGGGGTTAAGGAAGAAGATAAAATTCCACAACTGCAATGAGTATTTGGAATCCGCGGTTTTAGGTAAGGGAGGGAAAAAAAGGATGACAGAGCAAAGTGCTACAAGGAGGAGTCCAGTTCGCATGAAGATTTGTCCTTAATAAATAACTTCATAAACCGTGGCCTTCTTATCCCCAGAGCCAGTGACAATGTACTTGTCATCCACAGAGATGTCACAGCTAAGCACCGATGAGGATTCTTTGGACTAGGGGAAAAAAAAAAGTTAGAAAAATACTGACTATGGAAAGAAAAAACCTTGAGTATTGACAGACAGGACTGGAAGACTGGAGCAGAAATGCATACAATGTACTCCCACTGACCAAATATGAGCCCCAAATAGGAAGGGAGTCTCAGTGCATCTTTGAAATGGCAGAGCTGGATCCACTGGTGAGTAATGCTTCACAGGGTTAGTGTGGCTCACTGGGCAAGACCACGCTGACCCTGGAGATTCCTGCCCTGGTGGACATGAGGCAGGCCAGAAAGTCAATGGCAAAAGCCCCTTTACTGGTCAAGCAAGGCCTGGATCAAATCTTACTCTCCAGAGTTAAAGGTGGGGTGTTATTAGTATGAAAATCCCTAACTGAAGTCAGATGGCTTGATTTTAGGTCAAGCTGTGAAAACTTCCCAACATACCAGTTGGCTTCTCTGAGCCTGTTTCCTTACAAAGCTATATATAGGTAACAGTATTTACCTGCCTGTCACCTCAGACGGTTGCTGCAGAGTTTATGTGAGGTAATATATGGGAACAGTCACTAAAAACACTACCTTTTCTGAGATAGGGAATGCAAAATTCTTCCTAGTGAAAAGCCTAATTTTCCCCTATGTAAAAACTCCCAAAGGGGGAGGGTCTCAAGAGTTTTTAAAAAATGTACCATACTTAGAATTGTAGACACCATGGTTCAAGTACCATAAATGTGACAGTTCAACGTTAACTTTTAACTGTGCTCATAAAAAGGAAATCACAATTTATCAAAGCATTGTTTTACATAGTGACTGCTAAACAGAAGGTCAGTGGTTCAAACCCACCAGCTGCTCTGTGGAAGAAAGATGGGGTGATCTACTTCTGTAAAGATTTACAGAAACTGCTATCAGAATTGCCTCAATAACAGTGTTGTTGTTTTTTTTTTTTTTTTAAAGTGGATTCAAAACACTATTCTCACAACAGAAAAACAGAAAAGAAAGTGGTTTTTAAAAAAAAAAAAAAAAACACTCGATTTTAACCAGGACTCTTAATACTTTAATATTAAAAAAAAGTATGACATGTAGCTACTATAACGCAGTACCAGTGTTTTTCAAAGAAGAAGAAATACATTTTATTCACAATTCCATACATTTATAGGATGTCATAGTTCCATCTACTATAAAATATGCACACTAGTATTTATTTATTTAGAAACAAAAATGCTGGCTGGAACTGTCTCAAAGATTGTGATCCACAATATGAAAGACAGTGCACTCAACTCAAGCTTCATGATGACAAGAATCACCTATTTTTGTCCTATGACCATGTTGCATGGTATTTCCAGTTCAGTATATAGTTTTTACCTACAATTTGGTCCTTCTACAAATAATTTCGCAAACTGTAAAAAATTCATCAAAATTTACTGAATTTTCCCATACCTACTCTTCTTTGAAAAATACATTCAAAGAAATACTACTAAGAACATTTAAATGAATATTTCAAATTTTAAACATAGAAATTAAAAAAAGACAAAGAAAGGAAAAAAAAAAAAAAAAACACCCACTAACCCACAGAAGACATAAAACCTTAGTCTAGCAAGTGATACAGACATGAGCAGTCAGTGAACAGTGCAACGGGCATAGCCTTGGCTCTGAGGTCAGAAGTATCTGGAGATAAACCTCAGCTCCATGACTTGGTGGCCATGACACTTAACCTCCCCCAAAACCAGTTTTTTTTTTCTCTGCACAATATGAACACTAGCTCCAACCTTCCAGGACATGTGTAGATTATTCACCTGAGAACAGGCACAGAGAGCTTGGTGAAACAGACATGCAATGAGCATGCAGTACAAGGGAACTCAACAAGCAAGCGGTACCTGGAATATGCTGGCCCCATAAGGTGTCCTCCAGGCATTCAGAAGGTTGTCCTTTCCAGTGCTTACGAACCACTTGCCTACCAGAAGAAAGTTTCAAAATAGGCAAATCTGTGTTACACTGTCAGACACCCGAGATGGGCTTTAGAGAGCATCAAAATATTTACAGAAAACGCATTTGCAACAGAGCTTTTTTTCACCTCAAAATAAAAGCCAACCTTCCTAGGTTTAATAAACCATTGATATTTATGACAATGATAAAGTAGATAAATGCCAGAAATTACATAGCATCAGGAAGTAGGCACGTGTAAGGAAATGCCGCAATTCAGAAGAAGAACATGTGAAAGAACTAAAGTATGTGACTTGGGATGACAGAAAATGAACAGGAGGAGCTACTCACCACAGTGGGCAAACTTGAGCGACAGCACACAGCTCTCGTGAAGATGTAACTGGTATTTATCGGGCTTGGTGACATGTAGCACTTCCACATTACTGTTTTCCATCCCCACCGCAAGCCATTCTCCGGTTGGGCAGTAGCCCAGAGAGAAGATCTAGAATTAAAACAGGAAATGGTGACAGTGGCTATAGAGTACATACTTGTTTTAACCAGAGGCAGAGAGTTCTCCTGGGGATGCTATTTAAATTATGAAGGAAACTGAGATAACTTGAATTGCATAGGAAGAAACTAAAGCCAAATGTGTAATCCCAAAAGTAATGAGATGGATCTCCATAAAATAATTTACTAATCAATTATGTCAAGTCCAAACACAACGGTCTTTGAAATTAAAATCTTCTAAAAGGTTATAATAAATGAAGGGTTTTATCCTTTAATAAAATATATTTTTATCTTATAAATATAAAAAAACCTAACAAAATATATCAATATCCTTAAGTGAAATAAAATCTAGACAGAAAATCACGTATTTTTCACATTTCTCAAATGACTTCATCACTGTGGCACACGAACTGTTCTTTAATTTCTGCTCTTTAGTACATCGTATTTGCCACAAAATCCGTCTTCCAGAACGTCACAGGTGCCCAATCCAAACCTGGGACGTGAAGTCGTGCTGCTGCAGCTGCCGCCCCTCACGCAGGTCCCAGGATCTGACCGTGTTGTCCAAACCGCCCGTCCAGAGCTTGGTGCCATCGTTAGAAATGTCAATACAGCTGGCTCCGTCTGTGTGGCCCTGGAATTGCCTGCAAAGTGTCAAAATGGAGGGAAAGGCCTTGAAAAGTGAGTTTTCAATTGTACTCAATTCAGACTTCCTTGGTGGTTAATTTCATTGCAGGCCTTATTTGTAGATCATTTTGGGTTTTTTTTTTATATTTTCTAATTAGAGATTATAAATTAAAGTTTGAGAGATGCTGAACTCCCTGTGCTTTTCTTTTCTTTTCTTTTTTTGAATACTTGGGCAGTTCTTCCAATTACTCTTACACTGAAATCTGACTGACATCACTAACGGAAAAGTATCTTCAAGTGAAATAAACCAAAGAAAGCACACACCTAGAAGTATGTGAGCTAATCAAAAATATATTCTGAGGCCTATTCTCTCACTCTGATGGGGTGGGCTGGGCCCAGGGAGCTATAGAGCAAATTATGCCAGTGAGCAGCAAGGCAACTGTGGGCAGCTGTGCACAGCAGGAAGGCCAGACTCTTAAGATGAAGCACATGGAAGGAAACTCAGTGATACAGCTGCCCCCGGAACCACTTCTGGTAAAATGTGCAAAAGACATTGAGGGAGCTGAAGGGATTAGAGGCAGTTCCTCATGAAAGCCTTTCCAAAAGGGCAAAGTGATAATTATTTTGTTTTTGCAATCTCTTTCTATATGTATTCGAAGAAAGACTGGGCAGTCTACTTCCACAGAGATACTGCCTCGGAAACCCAAGGAGGGGTCGCTATGAGTCAAATCAACTCCACAGCAGTGAGTTTGTTTTTGTTTTATGTATGTATGTATATATATATATATATATATATATATATATATATATATATATATATATATATATATATATAATAAATATGTACACACACAGAGAAACAGAAATTTCAGTCCTACAAATATTTTGCAGCCAGACAATACAGACCTTTTCTCCTTACACACTCATACTGACTTGAAGTTAGATTTAACTACAACTTTGTCATACCCTCTCTACCTGATCACACTTTTTGCATCCCGCTCTCTTGTGTGCTGACATCTGGAGATTTCTTGCAGGGCTTTCCGTACCAATGGTGATCCTGTTCAATCTCATTTCTAAACAGACATCAGTTAAGTTTATGTATCCTTAATGGTAGAGTGACAGGTACTCTAGATCATTTTAGGTGGCGTAGTGCCTAAGGCATTTGACTTCTAACCAGAAGACTGGCGGTTCAAACCCAACAGCCACTCCTTGGAAGGAAGACTAGGCAATCTACCTCTGTAGAGATACCACCTCGGAAACCCAAGGAGGGGTCGCTATGAGTTGGAACTGACTCAACAGCAGTGAGTTTGGTTTTTTTGATTTAGCATAAGAGAGTGCCTGAGCCCATGGTAGGTGCTCAGTAAGTATTTGTTGAATGAATGAACATTTTGATACATCAGGCACCTAGGGCAGTGCCAGGCACTATGAATCTTCTCAGTAAGTATCTATCAACAATGATGGTGTCAGCAAGCAGAGATGGTGCATTACAGGCACATGAGAAGAAAGGTCTGGTGATCTACTTCCAAAAACTCAGCCACTGAAAACCCTAAGGAGCACAGTTCTACTCTGACACACAAACAAGGTCACCCTAAGTCAGAATCAACTCAATGGCCACTGGTTTTAATAAGCCTATGGGGTCATGGGAGCCATATATACATTAATTATGTCAAATGGACCTCATTTTTTTTTAACCACATTGAAGATGCTTAGAATAATGTCCAGGATAAAAAAAAATTCTTCATTTTATGAAGTTCAAATAGTCCAGAAAACAAAATGTTACATTTATAATTCATTTCTACCATATTACAATAGACCTGCTCTTAACAATAATAATGGTATTTTATCTCTCTAGAGCACGTGGCACAATGTGGTAAAATTTGCTCCTCCTCACGACCTGGTGATAGATACTGCCGACCCACCTCACCAGCGTCTGGTTGTGCAGGTCCCACACCGCGATGTTGCCGTCGCTGCAGCAGGAGAAGCAGACCTTGGAGTCCGGGCTGATGGCCAGGGCGTAGCAGGCGGGAGCTGAGGACGTCAACTCTGCCTTGATCCGGGGAGTCGGAGCTGCCAGGTCCCAAATGGACAGAGTACTGGCTTCCCCTCCAACAATCAGGGTGCGCCCATCAGGGAGCAATCTGCAGGAACGGATGTAGTTATCCCTGTTCTGTGAAGACAAAAACCATCAAGAGATTACTCATGAGGAAAAGAAAACAGCATTAACATGAGAGCAGAAATCCATAAAAGTATTGTGTTCCCTCCTGGTTTTAATGAGCCATTTATACTTATGACAATGATAAAGTGGATTAATACTAGAAAATTACATGAAATTAGGGAAGTACTTACACTTGGTCTTCAAAATTTAGTACTGAGATATTTAATCTTAATTAGCATCAAAATGCAAAGATCTAGACCCACCCCCCACCACTACCACCAAATTAAAAGCTTTGTGTAGTTGTCAACTCCTGGAGTCATTTGCACAATAGACACATGCGTACACTGATGGAGGGGCCCCCAGAATCCTGGAGGATCAAAACTGGAAATGCTGGTGTACTTGACTCTGCTGTTCAAAGTTCTGCTGCTACTGCCAAGGTGTCAGTGGGTCAGTGGGTTAAAGACCTCTGGAGCCTGTTCTTTCTGCATGGCATTGGCTGACCTGACTAAAAGGCATTGTGGGTTTGATTAAATCAGCATCAACTGGAGGGAAGACTTAAACAAGGAGTGTTAAGTGACAGGAGAAAAACAAAAAAAAATTCTTCCCAGTAATGTTCTACTCCTGGTATAATGGAAGAAAAACAAACTGAAATTGCCTAAATAACTCAAAGACAAATGCTAGTGAAATAGCCAAGAGGTTATCTAGTGTTTGTCACATGAAGTATTCAGTTACTCTTTGCACAGGACAAATTATGATGCTTAGGTCCACTCTCAAAGAAACTATTATGTGGGCTCTTAGCTTTCTGGGGGAGCTCCAGTGGCATAGTGCCTAATGCTCTGACTGCTAACCAGAAGGTTGGCAGTTCAAACCCACTAGCCACTCCTCAGAAGCAAGGTTGGGCAATCTACTTCTGTAGAGTTACCTACCTTGGAAACCCAAGGAGGGGTCTCTATGAGTGGGATTCAACTCTATGGAAGTGAGTCTGGTTTTTTTGTTTTCGTTTTAGTTTTCTTAAACCCATTTATCAGATTTAGTCTAGGAAAGGGAGTCCCCGGGTGGTGCAAATCCATCCAGAGGTGCCTTGAAAGAAAGGCCTGGTGACCTACTTCCAAAAAAATCAGCCGATGAAACCCCATGGAGCCCAGTTCTACTCTGATACAAATGGGGTTGCTATGAGTTGGAGCTGACTCCACAGCCAATAGTTTCAGCCTAGGAAAGCAAGTGTCTTCCTGCTCCCATTCATAGTGCAAGTTAATGGAAATTACTCTGGAGATGTACTGCACATGAAGAACTGAGTCACTTTTGCCTGAAGAAGCAGAAAGTAGATGGTCCTCCTTCTAACCAAAACCAAACTCACTGCTATCGCGTTGATTCCATCTCATAGTGACCCCCACTGGCTTTCTGAGGTGGTGTATCTTTACGGAAGTAGATTGCCCAGTCTTCCTTCCATAGAGCAGCCAGTGGGTTTGAACCCCTAGCCTTCTGGTTAGCAGTTAAATGCCTTAGGCACTATACCACCAGAGTTCCTGTTCCTCCTTCAAGGCCCTTTAAATCTCCAAGTGAAAGACCACAAATCACCAAGACCAACTACCAACTTGGGCCCAACACTGTGGTGTTGCTCTTACATATTGTTCTCGCACTGCTCCCTCCCCTTCCTTCCTCCCACCTCTCTCTCTTCCCCTTTTCTAAGGAACGAGTGAGTCTGTGCATCTTTGTTCACTCACCAAGCAGTCAAGCTGAGAGACAGGACTCTTGTTGCCAGGGTGACTGATGTCCCAGACCTTGACGCAGCCCTTCCCACCCGTGTACACGTGCCGCGTGGGGTTGCTGATGGTCACGGCACATACCACCTCCCCGTGGTTCAGGGTGTTGATCTGGCGAGCGTGTCGGGGGATTCCAGGTCCAATGAGGGCGTCAGGGGGGAAGGGAACAGGCTGCATCTGACCATCTGCACTAACATGGAAGGAATATGCTCTAAGACAGTGAAGAGGGGAAAAAAGAGGAAGAGGGAATATACAAATGTTACTTAACTTTTTGGTGTAATGAGATGAAAAATAAAACACTGTCAGTGCCACTTGTGACTTGCAATCAAGCAAATTTACCTAGCACAGTGGAAAAAATAATTTTCAGAGTCAGAGAGAGAGAGAGGATGACTGTCTTAGCTGCTGTGTGACATCAGTAGTTACTTAACGTTTCTGAACCTTAGTTCTAATCTCTAAAATGGGGAGAATTTTACCTACCTCTTCTGTGATAAATAAGATAATCGGTGACAAGTATAGGACCTACTACTTCAGAGGTACCCACCATCTTGCATTGCCTTCCACTTGGAGTGATTCAAGGGCCTGCGATAAGACTTTACCTATAGATCAAATCACTCCAATCAAGTGACTTCCTAACGAGTCAAAATTATGAACTTTTAAGGGCTCAAAAGTCTGTAGGCCTAAATATTAAAACAGCAGACATCAGAAACAGGGCTTTATCTTTTTTTTTTAAAAAAAAAAAAAAAAAAAAAAACACCTTGATTTGGTGCCTTGACAATCACAAATCCTAGTAATTGCAAATGGAATTAGAACTCTACAGAAAATGTACTGTGTGACTTCACCAAAGGCCCACCTGTGAATACTATCAACAGCTCCATTTCCAATTCATTTTCAGGGAAAGCCCTCAGGTTGTGAAAGCATTTGGTTCTAAAATGCAACTTAAGGTAGAGCCTCTCCTTCACAGAACCTATCTCTATCTTTAGGACACTGAAGTCAGGTGGGACAATAAGCGAAGCTGTGGTGATGACTGCCAGGTTCCTGAAGGCAGATGTCAGTGGTGGGCAGGATGGAGCTGGGGCTGTCTTGGAGGCTATGACAGGCGATAGCTCACTCTGGAAATTACGTCACTCTACTTTGGCACGAAGCTCTGGAATGGGCTCTGTTTATGGGAAGAAGTTTACGAAAGACATACCAAGGGAGAGCATTTGTTGGGGCACAAAGGATAGACACTTGGACCACACTGCAGGAAAGTTTTAGAACCAAATTAAAACAGTTTATGGTTCCCTAATGCAAAAATCTACAGGCTAGTCACATTCATCAAAATTCAACCTATTACTGCGGGGCTATTACCAACCACCCAACATTCCCAGAAAGGATGAAGCCTATGTGTGGCTATGGGTGACATGAGAGCCAGACCCTGGAGGGTTTTTTACTTTCTCTAGTCTGTAAAGACTCAGAACTGGGTTGTAGAAAAGAAAGCCATAAAAGTCATGTATCACTGAGGAGGGTGGAGATGGGAAGTTAGGGAAACACTGGATTCACTTGTTTGATATAATTAGTAAGCCTAGGAGACCCACGAGGTATATAACATGAGAGAAAGGGGTCACTAAGGAGGACTCGCAGGCTTAGAATACAGGGAACCAGGTACACAGCACTCTATCAGTGCAGGTGAGAGGGATGTGTAACTGAAGGGTACACATGCAAGGGGGTAAATGGTTGGATTTTCTTAACCTGGTGGGCAGATGGGAATGCAAATGGCAGGGGGAAATAAAGCATCATGATTTAGGACAGAGGTCGGTTAGAAAAACCAACCTGTGGCCATCCACAAAGATGCAATATTTGAAGCTAATGGAGCAGATAAAACAATCCTGGAGCCCACTAGGTAGTGAGAAGTAGCCCAGAAGCAGAATCTAAGAGATTGCTTGCATCTGAGGAATCTCCAGCAAGAGCAGAGTTAGATAAATAAATACAAGCAGTCCTTGGATTACCAACAAGATCTGTTCCTAAGTGTGTCTTTAAGTTGTATTTGTAGGTAAGTTGGAACAGGGGCATATGGTTTTTATTTTGCCTTATTTCAGTGAAAGAGGTATTCTGGTGGCACAGTGGTTAAAGTATTCGTCTGCTAACCAAAAGGTCAGCATTTCAAACCCACCAGTTGCTCTACGGGAGAAAAAGATGAGGCTGTTTACTTCTGTGAAGATCTACAGCCTTGAAAAGCCTATGGGGCAGCTCTACTCTGTCTTACAGGGTCTCTATGAGTCAGAACTGACTCAATGACCCCGGGTTTGGTTTATTTCGTTAGTGCAAGAAAAAGCTTCAAGTTTTTTCCATGATTTCAAAGCTGCACACTGAGCAAGTGAAGGTGATTGTGATGAACAATTTGTTGGGTTGAGTAATCTACTTCCTGTATAGATACTGCCTTGGAAACCCAAGGAGGGGTCACTATGAGTCAGATTCAACTCAATGGCAGTAAAGTTGGTTAGTTATTTTTTAGGGGTTGGTTCAATCATTTCAAAGTAAGGACAAATTTTAACTTTTAACAGCAAGTACTTGTCTGTTAGTCGGATGTTTGGAACCCAGGGACTTACTGTAATTAGGGGGGCAATCAAGTGCAACTGGGGAGAAGATGGTCCATCCCATGATAGGTCATTAAGAGATTCAGCCATTCAATATGTACTTCTTGAGAGTCCCAGTATGCTAAGGCCTGGGGATGCAACAGCCAAGAAAGAAACCCACACAGCATCCCCGTTCTCTCAAAGTTATACGCGGTGGGGCATGGGAGACAAGCGCTGGGCAGAGGGAAAGATTCATCAGTGGCATAAACATTACACAGTCAGTACTATGAATGATGGAAGCTCTATGGTATTCTCAGAACTTATGGTGTGAGAGAAGACAAGGGAAAGTGACAACAGACTGGTGATAGAATAAAATGGGTAAGAAGAAGAAAGGGGAAAAAGAGAGGAAAACAGTATGATGAGGCATATGCAAGTATGAAAGCCAGAACGAGAGAGCGTGATTGTTACTCATTTATTTAGCAAATATTTATTAGATGTCTAAACTGCACCAAGTGCCAGGGAATCAGAGATGAACAAGTGAGACCAAGTCTCTCCCCTCCCACAGCTTACATCCTAGGGGAAAACATAATACCCAAGCAGATAAATGAGTAACCTCAGAAAACAGTGAACACTATTATACACAAACACATGCACACACACAAACAATGATCTCAGATCAAAGAATAAAGTGCACAGAGTGTTGGTCAGGGAAGCCTCTCTCGGAAGGAAGCATGTGAGTAGAGGCCTGGATGAAGGCTGCAGCCCTTGCACACATCAAGGGGAGATTGTGCCATGTAGAAGAAACAGCAAATGCAAAGTGTGAGGCAGAAATAAGTGAGAGGGTCAGAGAGGGTTTGGTGGGGTATATTAGGATATGAGCTTGGAGAGATGGAAAGCAGCAGTGGCCATACTAGAAAGTGCCTCATAGGCCATGATAAGAAGTGTACTATTCTGATCAGAATGGCAAACCACTGGAGACTTATGCAAGGCAGTGAAATGATTCAATTTTTCAAGCAAGCGCTTTGGTTACTGGGTTAAGAATGAATTTTAAGTGGCAAAATGGAAGAAGGAAAACAAATATATAAAGGATGATTAGAGTAATCCAGAGGAAAGCAGGTAGCTAAGACCTGTGATAAATAGTGAGAAAGTCGATTTGTAATTCAGAAGGTCGCTCAGGCTGGATGGAGGTGAAGGAGCCATGCATATGGGATGCTTGGACTTTGGAGGGGATATAGTTAGGGGTAAGGCAAGGTCTCCTCTGTGAGCCTGTAAACAGGAAATGGAAGTCAAGTAGGGCAGGTCATTAGAGAAGAGGTGGTCCAAGAACCAAGATGAGGTTACTAGAAGGTTATCCTTCCAGATATCCAAGTCACTCAGGATGATGGCAGCCTCTGAGTGGAGTAAGACCTTACGTGCCATGTGTCCAAGACTTGTATAAACTGGGGGAATGTCCTAACAAGGTGAAGAGGGATAGAGTCAAATGGCACAAGATTGAGAGAAGGATTTTAAGAGTGGAGAAGTTAAGGTCCAAAAGAGATGGCGTAGAGGTGGGTGACCCAAGCCTTTCAATTCTACTACTGGCCTTGAGGTCTGTGTGATGTGAAAAAAATGAAAAGTTAAGTATCACCTAGAGAACTGTGGTGAAGTGATCTGTGATCTCAGAAGCATGCCAGATTTCAGTCTGGAGAAGGGAAGGCAGGCAGTATATGCAGTTCCTGAGTTACAAACATCCAACTTACGGACAACTCTTACAGGACTCTGAACTGGCTCTCTCATGGTCAACAAAGCGAACTAGGCGCAGACCTGAATTTTTACAATTTGGGTGATTCGTGACAGTAACCAGAATGGGAAACATTACGGGTTGAAGCCCTGTAATGGAAGACTGGGAAGGGGCACAAAGAGAGCCCTTTTGGGAGCCTGATGCATGAGATTGGATTACTGGCAGGACTGGGGAAAGCCACACATTCAAAGCAACACACTGGCCACCATCTTGGAGGTGAGGTGGGAGAAGCAGTGCTGTTTCAAAGCCTTGCTTTAATGTTATGTAAATGAGACCTCACTGGGAAAGGAATGAACCAAACCTTACTGACAATGAACTCTTCCTCACAATCACCTTCACTTGCTGCACATGCAGCTTTTAAATCACTGAAAGCCTTTGAGCCTTTTCTTGCATTTAAGTAAGGTTAAACAAGACCCATAGGCACCTGTTCCAACTGACCTACAAATTCTTAAAGACACAGTAAGGTACTGGTCTTGTTCATAACCCAAGGACTACCTGTGATCTCCTCAAAGAAAGGCTGAGCTTCTGAGGGATGATGATCGAGAGAAACAATAACTGATTGAGCAATTAAGAAGTCATGAAGACTAAATCTTAAAGGAAGGGAAAGGAAGGTTATTCCAAGTTTAGATGGTGTTGTACATTCTTAATGATAATTTATTTCAAAAGACTTCCTTCTCTCCCCTCCAGAATTACTAAATGGTTTTTAAAGAGCCTTGAGAATTTAAATAGTTAAGAGACCAGGCAAACAATTTCTTTTAGGGTTTCAAGATGACATTCTTTACCTCAACAAAAACCACTGTGAGCACCTACTATGTTCCTGGCACTTTCTTTAAAAAGGTTAAGAATTTCAAAAGCCTACTTGCAGTAAGGACATAATGG